TTCGAACCACAGTCATTTTGTTTTCTTTATGGTTATGTCTATTTTATTTCTGATTTATTTAAAAAATATTTTTATTCATATGGAGTTATAGTACAGTGGAGAGGACGTTTTCCTTGCACACACTCATCCTGGGGTCAATCTCTGGTACTTCATATGGTCCCCGGAGCATCACCAGAAGTAATTCCTGAGCACAGAGCCAGGAGTAACCCCGGGGTGTGACCCCTCCCACAAAATTAAAATTTTTTAAATTTTAAAAGTTTTTTAAAATTAAAAACACCATGATTTACAAAGTTGCCCATCACACAGTTGTTTCAAGCATTTATTGTTCCAACCAATAGTTCCAACCAATAGTGTGATGTTCCCTACTACCAATGTCCTCATTTTCCCTTCCATCCCTAACCTGCCCTCTTAGGCATATAACAAATTCATTTTATGTTACTTTTTCCAACAAAACTTTAAGAATGGCAAATAGAATGATCAGAAAGTAAATCAGTAAGAGCCAATTTGTGATTCCTATATGATTTTGACCTATATAAACAAGGAAAATAAAACTTTTTAACACAATATAAGAAAATGCTTCTTATATTTACATAAAGTTTTCAACTCGAACTCTAAGATAATTGAATTACATTTTATTTAATGTCTGGATCTCATTATGATAATAACCATGACTTAACTCTCATTAATATAGATATTTTTACCACAGTATTTTTATTTGACTATTTTATATATTATATCTCTTTATTGATAATTTTACTTAATAGTACGTTGTCTCCATACCTGCCTTTTCTTCTAATAAAACTTTTTTTAAAACTCTTTTTCTTTTCCTTTTTCTTTTCTTTTTTTTTTTTTTTGCTTTTTGGGTCACACTCAGTAATGCTCAGGGGTTACTCCTGACTCTACACTCAGGAATTATTCCTGGCTGTGCTGGGGAGACCATATGGGATGTCAGGGATTTGCCCCGGGTTGGCCGTGTGCAAGGCAAATGCCCTACCCATTGTACTATTGCTCCGGTCCTCTAATAAAACCTTTAAAGAAATTTTCTACAAATATATTTTGGAGTTTATGTGAAATGGGTAAGGCTTACTTATATAAAATTTCTCCCCTACATTTTATTAGGGTTGGAACGATAGCACAGTGGGTAGGGCGTTTGCCTTGCACATGGCCGACCTGACCGAGCTGGCTTTGATTCCTCTGCTCCTCTTGAAGAGCCCAGCAAGCTACCGAGAGTATTTTACCCGCATGGCAAAGCTTAGAAAACTACCCGTTACGTATTCGATATGCCAAATACAGTAACAAGTGTCACAGTGGAGACATTACTGGGCCTGCTCAAGCAAATCAATGAACAATGGGAGGACAGTGACAGTGACATTTTATTAAACACTGTGGTTTGAAAACTTGTTAATGATGATTTGTTATAGGCATTCAATATTTCAACATCGATTTCAAAATCACTGTCACCTTCCTTCCACCATTGTCTCCAATTTTCCCAACCACCACTCAAGCTTGTCTCCATGACAGGAACAATAATTTACTTTCAATTAAATAGCACAGCGGTAGGGCGTTCGCCTTACAAGCGGCCAACATGGCCGACCCGAGTTCGATTCCTCTGCCCCTCTCGGAGAGCCTGGCAAGCTCCCGAGAGTATTCGATATGCCAAACACAGTAACAACAAAGTCTCCAATGGAGACGTTACTGGGCCCGCTCGAGCAAATCGATGATCAACGGGAGGGCCTTTACCTTTACCTTTTTAATTGCTATCAATAAATTGCTAATGGAATGATCAAGAAGTTATTTTCTTAGAAGAAAATTGGTGGAAATTTTTGTATGTCACCATGGAAACATTAAGTCCTTGTGTGAGGAACTACTAAAATGTTTTGACAGTTGAGTCTTTCTGTGTTACTGTTTGGTTGGTCACAATTGGTTGTTGTCTATGTTACATCCTGTCAAACCTGGTGTAGTATTTTTATTACTGAATTATCACTGTTGTAGAGTTTGGAGACATCAAGTGACTGCATGTTCCAGGAAGTTCAGATTTTTTAACTAGGTGATAAAGATGAGGCAGCTCTGGGGTGTGGACATGACTGACTGGTGTTCTAGAAGTACAGACAGTTGGGGGGAGGTAGCCCATTCAGACCCAAAGAAAGTCTGAGGTTTTCAATCACAAAGAACCACATACCTGAATTTTTAGCAGGTTAATTTCTAGGTGAGTTTTGGTCCCAAGACAACAAAGTCTGGCCTGAAGTCCTTTTTTTTTTTTTTTAAGTTCTTGACTTTCATTCTCAAACATTAGAGGAATCTAAATCTTGAAACATTCCTGGAAATTCAATTTCTCTTCCCAAAACAGTTAAATTTAACCTCTTCTCCCCCCACTTTCTTTTAAGCTATGAATTCATCTTTTTCTTCTCTCATTTGGTTTCCTTTCTGTTCCTGCTGTCTTTATCTTGGCAGATTTTCACCAGCTCTCTTGGCTGCCTTTGCAGTCCTAGGAGAAGAATGGACCTAGTTATTCAACTTGTCACACATTACTATACGATAATTTTTTTTCGAATAGAAAGATGATTAGCCTAGTGTAAGATTTATGGATTTTGGAGGCAGATTTTCAGCTTTGGTCAAACTGTGACACAGAAAGCAAATGTTACAATCTGTATGGTATGGGAAGTAAGCAGAACAGAGCTGAAACAGACTGAGCAACCCCTACTTTGAGAAGGCAATGATAGTAACTCAAGGTGAGCTGCCCCATTCTGATTGGCAGGATTTGAATCTGTTTTTCATGATGGCTGTTTAGCCTCCAACTATGAACCTATGTATTTCAGTTCCTATTTAGTTCCATATTTGAGAAGTGTCAGAACATATGCTCACAAAGTAGGTGTCAATAACTGCCTGCAGTCGTCATGTTTGTCTCCATGATAAGCCACACTTTGCACATATATTTATTAAACAAGTGATTGAAGTGAACATCAATTCTTTGATTTTTGAGTCACACTCAGAGTGCTCAGTGCTTAATTCTGGCTCTGTTCTCATTAATCTCTCCTATTTTGGATGGGTAGTGTGTGTGTGTGTGGGAGGGGGGTCTTTAGGGAGACCATATGGGCATATGGCGCATTCAGAAATTGAGTCCCTGATCCCTGGCTACATGTAAGGCAAGAACTCAACCCTCAGGGGCTGAAGCAATAGCACAGTGGGTAGGGCATTTGTCTTGCATGCAGCCAACCTGGGTTCGATTCCCAGTGTCCCATATGGTCCCCTGAGGACTGCTAGGGGCAATTCCTGAGTGCTGAGCTAGGAGTAATCCCTGGGCATCACCGGGTGTGACCCAAAAAGCAAAAAAAAAAAAAAAAGAAAGAAACTCAACCCTCTATACAGTCGCCAGAATTGGACATCACGTAATAAAATAGACACAGTGTAGGGTTAAGAACTCTTATCTCCTGGAGAACAGCAGTAAGCTACTGGACAGAGGAAAAAGAGGGAGCCAAGAGGTCACATGGCTTTGTTAATTTCTTTGGCTGCAGTGGGTAACTTTTGTCTTGCTGTTGCAGGTTGATTTGAAGCCTTCAGAAAATAGGTGGCATGTGGCAGAAAAATCTTGAGTGCTCTACGTCTCAGCTGAAAGGAAGTATCTGTGTTAAATCATTTTCTTTGTTTTGTATTAGCCTCTTCCCTTCCCTCCCCTCCTCTTTACTCTTCTCCCCTAGGAATACTTTGTGTTGTGTGGTGTGTGTGTGTGTGTGTGTGTGTGTGTGTGTGTGTGTGTGTGTGTGTGTTTACTTTGACCACGGTTGAAGGCATTTCACATTTCTTTTCTTTCTTACAGATGCCTGGCCAACACACAGCAGAGATTGCATAGTTGGGAGGGGAGGGAGGCCCTAGGGACCATTCTGGGCAACTCAACTATAAGTCATCAAACTCACCCTCCAAAGGCAGATACTTTTAGCCAAGCAATCTTGCGGTCATTCCTATTACTTTAATCTTCATTTCCTTCTTATTCTCTTGAACAGTCTGTTTAGAGTTTCTTAGGTTTAGAATCCTCCGAAAGGCCAAGGGCATTCCAGTTATTCTTAGCTTCCATTCCTTGGTACACATCTTTACATTTCCGAGAACGAACACTGTCCCATCAAAACAGGGTGTTTGTCGTGTAATACTAAAGCATGGGATTGCCTCTACATTTCACAAGGCATTACACGCACACAGACACAGTGAAGGGACTTGAAACAAATCAAACCAATAGTCATGTGTACTGTCTTTAAACTTTTCTTAGCATTTTTTTGGGGGGGGGCGTGGGTAGGTTCTGATTTATTCATCTTTGCTGCTTACTCCGTTTGTCTTTGATTTCGGCACATCGGTATTGAGACCACAGAAGCTCCAACGTCAGCTGGAAAAAAACAAAATGCAACAAGTTGCTTTCATTTTCTAGGGCCCAAGAGAGGCCCGTCAGCAGGTGACTCCCATCCCTAAGGGGGTTCCCTTCCCCAGGGACCTGTCAATCACCTTTCCATTGGACACCCTTTCCACTCCCCCTTCTCTCAGCGGTCAGGAAATCCTGGAGCCATCCCGGCCCTGGAATCCAGTGTTCGGAACCACTGGACACTGAGCTGAGATTCAAACGAATCCTTGAGCAGACAAAGTCAGCACAGTTGGGGCCTGGCGGCGAGGCCCGGGCGGAGCTGCAGTTTGGGGGGTCGGCTGGCGCCTTGGCCTGTGCACCAGGCAGGAACGGCGCACCCCTCTTGCTGCCGGCCTAAAGGGAGCTGGGGTTTGTTCTGGGGCCGCGCCAAGGGGAACTTGCGTGTGCCGAGGGGAGGGAGCTCTCCTGCCCGGACAGGCCCACAGAGGGGTGGGGTTTCCCTTAGCGCCCCTGTTTCCCAGAGCAGCGTCGCCTTGCACGCCCACCCGCCACCCCCTAGCTCCAGCCAGTTGCTACGCACGCGGTCCAGGTCGCTTTTTCACGGCGACTCTCCCGAGACGTCCAGCCTCCCGGGCTCCGGGCTCTCCTCGCCCACTTTCCCCGCCTCCCGCGCGCTCCCCGCGGGCCCTGGGAAGCCGGTGGCACCCTGGGGGTGACCAAAACTCTGCACCCGGGGACCGAGATCGGCGGTGTTGCCGGCGCGGGGCAGGCGGGACGCAGCTGCGGGCGGCGATGAAGCCTACTTGGCTGCAGTGTAGGAAAGTCACGGGCGCCGGGGCGCTCGGGGGACCCCTGCCCGGGGCGGCGGCAGCGCGGGGAGCGGCGGGCGCGGCCCGCAGGGCGTACGCGGCCCCCGGCCCGCGGGGCGCCCTTGGCGGCCGGGGCTGCCGCGCGCTGTCCACGGGCGGCGGCGGCGAGTACAAGACCCACTTCGCGGCCGCCGTGGCCGACCCCGAGAGGTTCTGGGGCAAAGCCGCGGAGCAAATCAGTTGGTACAAGCCTTGGACCAAAACCCTGGAGAACACACAAGCACCCGCCACCAGCTGGTGAGTGACTCCGTCGTCGGGCCCCCCGGTTGTCTCTAAACTTTTTCAAGTCCCGGGAACTAGAGAGCTGTCTTAGGAAAGAAAATCCAAGTACTGGGAGAAGTGCTCAGAACCTTTTTTTCTCCCCCATGCATGTCCAGAATTCAGAATTCACCCTCGGCCGAGAATTCTCCTCTGAGAGGATTTAGTGGCGTTTTTTGAGCTCTGATTCTTGCCGGAGGGGGGGGGGGGGGCGTTTACCTATGTGCCTGGGCTGGGCTTGTCCACGGGAACGTTACAGGGGTTCAAACAGGCTATAGCTGCGAGGACAGTTCACTCTAGGTCGTGGAGACCGCAAATAGTGCCACCAGCTTGGGAAGTAGCACCCAGGAGCCAACACTGCTGGGAAAGAGGGTATGAAAGTCTCCAGAAATAAAACTCAACAGAGGTTTCATGTGTGGGTATTCCCCTAAGGCCAACAAAACCCTCTTTTTTTAAATTTTTATTTTTATTAGTGAAACACCATGAGGTACAGTTGTAGATTTACAATTTTTTTGTGCTTGGGTTTCGATTATACAATGATCAGATACCCATCCCTCCACCAGTGCCCATTTTCCACCACCACGGATAATATCCCTCCCACCCCCATCCCCCCATCCCCCCTGCCTCTGTGGCAGGGCAATCCCCTGTGTTCTCTCTCTCCTTTTGGGTGTTGTGGTCTGCAAAAGAGGCATTGAGTGGCAAACATGTTCAGTCCATAGTCTACTTTCAACATGCATCTCCCCTCCTGGGAGGATCCTCCAAACACCTCTTATTTGGTGCTCCCTTCTCTATCTGAACTGCCCTTTCCCCTAGAATACCCGGCTGGCCTCGAAGTTATGGAGTAATCCTCCTGGTGCTGATCTCAGCTATTCTTGGGTATTAATATCATATTTTGTTACTTTATATCCCCCAGATGAATGCAATCTTTCTAGGTCTATCCCTCTCTTTCTGACTCATTTCGCTTAGCATGATACTTTCCATGTTGTACCACTTGTATGTAAATTTCATGACTTCATCTTTTCTAACAGCTACATAGTACTCCATTGTGTAGATGTATCAAGTTTCTTTAACCAGTCATCTGTTCTTGGGCATTCAGGTTTCTTCCAGTTTCTGGCTATTGTAAAGAGTGCTGCAATGAACAAACAAGTGCAGATGTCACTTCGACTATACATTTTTGCCTCTCTGGGATATATTCCCAGGAGTGGTATTGCTGGGTCAAATGGGAGCTCAATTTCTAATTTTTTGAGAATCGTCCATACTGTTTTCCAGAAGGGCTGAACCAGTCGACATTCCCACCAAGAGTGAAGGAGTGTCCCTTTCTCACCACATCCGCGCCAGCATCGGTTGCTTTTGTTCTTTTGAATGTGGGCCAGTCTCTGAGGTGTGAGATGGTATCTCATTGTGGTTTTGATCTGCATCTCCCTGATGATTAATGATGTAGAGCATTTTCTCATGTGCTTTTTTGCCATTCGGATTTCTTCTTTGAGAAAGTTTCTGTTCATTTCATTGCCCCATTTTTGGATGGGGTTGGCTGTTTTCTTCTTGTGGATTTTAACCAGTAACAAAACCCTCTTTATCAAAGACTTCAAGTAGAATTTGCAATTTGAACTTCACGTTTTTTATAAGTAGTTGCATTGGATGAAAATGTGGGAGGGCATGAAGGCTTGTAGGTGTCATACCAAGTAGGTTGGTTGGGGTGGATCTTCTTCTTCATGTATGCAACTTTCATGGTCTATGGGCTGCCCAGGAAGAATGTACAGAGAGGCCACATGCTGTAGAAATCACGAGATGAATAAAGTTAGTTTTTCCTGGAGTGGCAACATTAAGTGGCTATCAACTTCATCTTTATATTCTCAAATGGCATTATAGGTTAAATGTCCCAGCCAGAGGATGTGGAGAGAGAGGGGCAGGGAACTCAAGAGTTTTGGCTGCCCTTTGAGCGGGGCTCTGAGCCTGCAAGGTGTGGCCCTTCCCACCTGTCAGTTATTAGGGAGGGAGATTTCCTATGAAAAGTTTAGAAATGGGGCAGAAAGATAGCATAGCAGTTAAGCACTTGCCTTGCTCACAGTGGACCCTGGTTTCTTCCTGCCACCTCATAAGTTCTCCCAAGACCAATCCCCAACCCCTTCTCTCAGTGATCTCTGAGCATAGAGCCAGGGAGGAGTAAACCACAGAGTATGGCCCAAACACAAACAAAAAATAGCACTTTGTTCTGGGATTGCCCATTTTGTCAACAGAGAAGGGAATGACTTGGTCAGATCTGTGTTGGTTACATGTCTGACTCCTGTGTTGGCCCAGAGCTGACCTTTCCTGATTGCTTGAAACTTTTTCTTTGTTGAGTCAGAACACGTTTCTCCTTGCAGCTTGGTTTTCAGTAACGTTCACCCTTTTCTGTGAAACAAGCCCTAGCTGAGCACCAAGGAGTGACAGGAGTGACAGTTCAACCCTGTCTTTTAGGAGCCATGTTGCCACAAACATGGCACTGGTGGCTCTATTGCCACCAGCAATTTGGAGTATGACTCCCCCAGGACGGGGCTATTTGTATATGTCCTGTGACACGTTAGTTACTTCAGCGGCCTCTGCTTTACTGCTCTCAAATATAAACTTGGAAACTGTGAGGATTCACCTTACGGTTTAAGACCCTTTTCTGGAGATAGAAGATGTTTGCCTTTCCATATTACAATTATTTTAGGAAACCCTCCTGCTTCTCAGATCAGATACACAGAGATTATTATCTCTCCAAAGAACCTATTTTTTTCTCTTTGGGTCACACCCAATGATTCACAGAGATTACTCCTGGCTCATGCACTCAGGAATTACTCCTTGGTGGTGCTTGGGGGACCACATGGGATGCTGGGAATAGAACCTGGGTCAGCCGTGTGCAAGGCAAATGCCCTACCCGCTGTGCAATTGCTCCAGCCCCAAGAACCTATTAACAGGCTTGGGAGATAGTACAGCAAGGTAGGGAGCTTGTCTTGCACATGACTGACCCGGGTTTGATCCCTGGAACTGCATAGGGCTTAATTGCAGTGATCCCTGAGCACCACCAGTTGTGGCCCCCAAATCAAAACAAAACAAAACAACAACAACAACAACAGAAGAATCTGTTCTCAAAGTTCTTTGTATACATATGTGTCATGTAGTATGGTACAGAGATTATGAGGGAACCATATGAAATAGTGAAAAATAATATTCAGAGAGCTGAATTATGTAGTTGCTGGGATAGTTTTGGGGTCTTCTTCTGGCCTCCCTTGTCAAGCAAGGGGCCGTCCTCAGAGTCCTGAGGACAGGGCTGAGCTTCCCTCCTGCAGAGAGAGGAGTCTGAGGGAAAAGAGCAAACTATGCCACCACCTCCACAAAAACCTAGAAATGAGAAATGAGCACACGAGCACAGGGGTGGGGGGGTCCCGTCAAGCACTTCCGATTTATTGAGCAAACAACAAGGTTTATATAGGTTTCAATATTTGCAGTTTCTCACGTGGTTAGAACAAATATTGGTTAGAACAAATATTCATTTCATCTCAGGTCTATAGATAGGATTACATTGTTTCATTATAGTTCTATAGATAGGGTTACATTGTTTCATTATAGTTCTATAGATAGGGTACATTGTTTCATTATAGTTTTAGAGATAGGGTTACATTGTTTCATTATAGTTCTCTAGATAGGGTTATATTCTTCCTTTGATCATAATGGATAGGTTGTCACCTGCACATATGCTGGACACATCCTGTCCCAGGATCTTGTTCCATGGCAGCATTGACCTGTGGTTGTGAATATACATTGTAACAGGCTTCTGAATGCTCTGGGAGACTCAGCCTGGGCCGAGCCCAGGGATTAGTGTGGCACCTCAAAGCAGACCAGAAGGGACTTTTCTCCCGACAGGATAATTCCCAGTAAGATCCAAAGAGGGTCAGACTAGGGGATGCCAACAACAACTGAGAGCAAGGACATCTTTCCAGAGTGTTGGAGAAGCTTGGAAGGTCCAGAGTTCAGAGAATGTGGAAGCCATAATGTTCATCAAATGACACTTAAAGTTTATAAAATGCTTGTCTAACATGATCTCTTTCATTTATTTATTTTTAAATTTTGGGGTTACACCCAGAGGTACTCAGGGCTTACTCTTGGCTCTGCACTCAAGCATCACTCTCCGTGGGGCTAAGGGGACAGATGAGGTGCCAGAGATTGAATCAGGATTGGTCTCCATATATAAGACTTTGGCTTTTCTACTGTACTATCTCTCATGAATGGGTTTTCTCTCCTTAATCCCTAGTTACTTATCTGAGTTTTCTAAAATTGTGTGCATAAAATGTTGTGAGAAGAATTTTTACATAAGAGTTCTTTCCCTCCCAACTTTCAGCACCTTATAGTCACAGATACTTGATAAAACTGTGTTTTCACCTTAGCATTCAATGGTCACAGGGTCTTATATGTTATATCACCATCCAAATGATGAAAGGAAAGGAAGGTTCTTTAAACATGCACTTATTCAATGATTCAGTCTTTCTAACTGTATCTGTCTGGAAGAAAAGAGTTAGGGTTATAAGTAGAGTTAGGAAACCACATATATAATCTTAAACTTCGTTCCAAAAATGTTTTTATATTCAATCTATTGCTGATTGAACAACTATTTTCTACATGCAGATACTGTTCATTGGTTAGCAATATTCTAGAATGCCAAACTCAAGACAGAAATCATATATATCTGTACATATTTATATCTATCTATCTATCTATCTAGAGAGAGAGAGAGACAGACAGACAGACAGAGCTCCCTAAGGTTCAGAGCAGGGCTGACATAGGAGTTTGATAAATTATGATATAATAACTGCTTAGATAGATTGTTTGCTACTGTATGTCTTTAGGAGGCAGTACATGGGTACTGATAAAGTTTTATGTGAGTATTTGATGTAATACTCCTTGAAGATGGGGCCTGGAGAAAGAAAGTTGGGTTCCAAGTCCTTAAGCAAAATAAGGAA